CAGAGCCTTACCTTCTGACTTACCATGTCCTTTGGGCTATTTTTACTCCAGCAGAGGCTACAATTGCTGAACCCATACCACAGCCTGCTGAGCCGGAGCTCCAGTGTGGCGGTGGTGTGTAGGTGTATGTACTTGGGTGTGTGATTGAACTAACTGCAGAAAAAAAATATATAATTTCTATAAAACTGAATTTTATCGTACCTAATTATAAAACTCTGCATGCTTGCAAGGATTAGTTTTACCTTTATTTATTTTTTCAACAGCAGTTATAGTCCAATTACTAATATAAAATATTTCTTTAGCTTATGGTCCTAAGATTTTAAAGGCCCAGATGACACTACAACTAACATGACATTACTTTAGTTGTTTGATCCTCCACAGAATTGAGTCATCAGTTTAAATAGACATAAGGATGTCACAAAAAACATAATCAGATTGGCCAGACAGCGTGAGTCCAACATTGGTAACAATGAACGTAATGAAGTGAAATTCCTGAATAAGCTGAAAGGTCAGACAGAAGGGAGGTTAGACTTGATTCACTGGCATAATACCTCTGATCCAGCTTAGGAGGTACTCAGAGAACCGTAATGAATTTGAGGGATGACGGTGTGACAGGTTGGCAGATTGCATTGTCTGAATGCTCACATAGACCCTGATGTACAGTAATATATTTGCATCATCAGGATGTAAAGATAATCCATAAAGGGAAGGCTGATTGTAGGTCTAATCAAGCACTGACCTAAAAGGGGCTTTGGTGAAGGAGCAAGGCCACCCTGTGCTGCCCCTCTAATCACACGGCAAGCCTCTTACTATCGGCTCACCAGTGTAGCACATTTTATCTTCTGCTCTTTACCCCACCCTCCTGGCCATCATCCACTCATCCTAACTGTATCAATACTGCTTTTCTTTCCCTACCAAATCTGCTTTTGTATACAATTCATCTTTAGATTAGTTTTTCTTATCTGTTATTTTTATTACAAACCATTTTTGTTCACCTTCATGTAACGTTTTATTGCCTCATTTCATCCCACTCTGCCTTTTCATCTGTCTTTGACCCTGTTCTCTTCTTCATAAAAGAGCAAATACTATCATCCTTCCTTTTGTAGAAGTTATAATATACAGTTAAGCTTTTTACTCAAGTAAAAGTGTAAAAGTATCATTTTAAAAACTACTTAAAGTATAAAAATAAAAGTAATGCAGGGAGAAATGTTAAGGACAGATGCTTTAAAATTTTTCTACAATTCTGGATGATAACTGTCTTATACTTAATTTACCTTGTTTTATAACTAACAACAACAGTATTAAATTTAACTCTGCATCATCTTGAAAAACGATTTATTTTGGTTTGTGGTAAACAACAAGTTCCAGAAAGGAAATTGTCTGGATAAGTTATTTAAATAACAAGTTATTTTGAAAATGTTCCTTTTTGCAAGGAGTAGAAAGTAGAGATAATTTCAAAAAAAAAAAAATGTAAGGAGAAGAAGTTAAAAGTTGTCTAAAAAATAATTACTCCAGTAAAGTATAGATTGGCAAAAATCATAAGTAAGTAAGGAAACAAAGTGTTTCGCATTTGTTACTTGACTCCTCTAGCTGCATTTAATGTACTGTATATCAGGCTTAATCACAACAGACTTATTTTGGATGGTCACAAAAAGTATCTTAAGAAGAAGACACATTTAGGTTAGCTTTAATCTTATTTAACACCTTTACAAGGGGTCCTACGTTTTACCATGTCATTTGTAGACTAAGGTAGTGTTCCTACTCAGAAGTCCCTGAACCTCTCTCCATGCTCTCTTCTCTTTGACTGAACCATCAAACTCCCACTGTTGTGGTGTGGACCTTGTAAGATAAATCAGGTTAAGTCAATAATGAGCTGTGTCTGTTCTCAAAGGTTAATTGATTGTTCAGCTGTTGAATACAAGCAACAAGACGCAAGAATGAAGACAAATGAATAGAAGCGTTCCACCATGCACTTTAAGCAAATATTACTAATTTCTTGTTTTTATTTTTTATAAAAAATTCAATCAAATATATAAAAATGGGCTTTGATATTAGGCCAAGATAACCCAAGTATACACAGAAATGTAGTTTTAGAGAAAAAAGCTATCCAATCCCAATTGTCCCTTTATTTGAAAAGTAATTCCCTGCAATGTCTATTAATTTGTTAATTTGTATAATACTTATACATGAATACTACCAGGTCTGTATAATTAAGGAATCACTTAAGAGTATGTTGATAATAAAAAGCAATACATCATTGCCTCATAGAAGGAAACTAAAGAATAAATGAGAAACAAAGTCACTGACATCTGTTGGTCTGAAAAGGTAGTGGCCTTACGATTATTACACCAGGAGAACCAAAAGCATCAGAAATCCTGCAAACCATTGCTGTTGCCTCAGTCACAGTTATTTGACATGATTTAACAATGAAGTGGCCAAAAGTGTCATCCACGACACGGGAGACTTCCAAGGTCAAAGCTACAGCTGGTCGAATATAAAGCAGCTTTTTGCATCAAAACTTTTCTCACATTTGATAAAAAAAACGACATCTGGAGAATCACCAAGACTATGGGGGAAATATGCAGGCTAATGAGGCAATGGAGGGGCTTTTCAGAAGGAGCGTTTCACAAAAAAGAACATCTTTCCGACTTAAATATTGGAATGATGGTGTTGGTCTGCGGGCTTTGCTGCTTCACTTTATCTATCGGCAAATTATGTGGGAGAATGTCATCCTAATGTGGCAACTCTAGATGACCAATCCACCGGCATATTTAAAAAACTATTGCCAGTCATTTCAAACAGCAATAGCTGCAAATAGTGGGACAAGTTTTAAGGGGGTTGTTTTTATTTAGGACATGACTTAGAAATTATTTAAATTGTCTTTTAAAAACTGCTTTTTGTATTTATTCAGGTTGTTTGTTGTTAAATTCAGTTTTCTTATACAAAGTATTTAAGTTGAAAAAAGCAAAAACTTATTCTCAGCTCCATGTAGGGTAAATGGGTCCATGTTTTTTTCCCCCTGTGACTGTCATGGTTTTCTTTGGTTTGGTTTTCTTGTATTGGCAGTAACGTTTTGAGACCCTTGTTGTTGCTGCCCTTTACTTGGTCCATGACTTCCCCAAATGACCCAGCTGGCCTCAGTCACCCATAGTTTAATGTTAGTGAAAAACTAAAGTTGGTTACATCCTGTCAGGTGAGTGGAGGTTTTGGAGGCTCCAAATGCAGAGACGGATGCTGAACTGGTTCCTTGCAGATTTAATAATAATGTAATAATGCCACCCTTTTGAATTTAATAATTCAAAAGGGTGGCAACTGAAAAAAAAAAAATCTAGTGATGAGGCGAGGCTTCGAGGCATGTGTCGAGTAGCGCAAAGCACGTTTTGAGGCATGATTCATTTAGGGAATGGGCCAAAATTGATGATGTCCGAAGCCTCTCTACCGTGATACCACGTGAACACTTCAGGAAGTGGTTTAGCCCGCGCAAGAACTTCGACAGGCATAGCAGCCTCACTACTCAGTCATGATGTGGGAGTTTGTAGAACAGTTGCAGTCAGTTGGATAGAGTTTGGATGTATTCTAAGAATAAATTGGTTGGAAAAACAACCAATCTATTTGGTTAAAACTATTTTTGTTAGATTAAACAATGTAAAATCTGAGCAACAATCTTAGTAATATTAGTCTTAAATAGTATTGCTTTCTGGTGAGCAGCTATCAGTAGCATCATCTGTAAGACATGAACTTCTACTCCGGAGGTTGTTGTTTCGAAACCTTCCTTAGACTTTTGAAAGTTGCGATAATAAATAACAAGTATTTTGGCTAATGTGACTAATTTGTATGGTTTGCCCTTGTACAAATATAGATTGTGTAGCACACTGCCAAATTAGATTAGTTCGTTTAACCAAAAGATTGATTCAACACAAACTTCTCACCCGATTTAAACAAAAAACTGTGGAAAAACTATTATGTTTGAATAAAAATAACTCACATCCTTCATTTTGCATATCTTTGTCCAATTTGCAAACACTTTTACTGTCTGCTTGAGCTTATTTCACTAAAATGGCAGAAAAACAGTGTACCCTAAAGGATTTTTCTCTTCTAAGACATTTTACACAAACAAAACTTGAAAAACATTTTATTATACACACCAATCATTAACAATTTCAGAGGGACTTAAAAGGAAAAAAAACAAGAAAAACAACTGCAAAACAATCAAAAATCTGATTTTATTACTGACTGTAGTTATGTTCTTCACCAGTAGGTGGTAACATGTTCACATGGAGCCTCACGAACTGTGGGGATCGTTGAAGCAATTAGCCCAAACGGTTTAATGCCTCATGAGGCTTCATCTCACTATCATGACAAAAATCCCCTAATAACAAAATACAGAAAACCAAAAGCTAAAAGAGGTTAGGAAAAACACACATCCAGAGCGAAGAAACTACAAGAAACCAGAAAAGAGTAACTGAACAGGAGGTGTATTTATGGGACAGAAACAATGGGAGGACTAATTAGCAGATGAGGAACAGGTGTGGACAGAGGAATCTAGAAGGGAGCTCGGAGAAGGAGACTGACACAAGAGGGCAACAGAGGGTAAACAAGAAATACATACAAACTCAAATAAAACCAAAAACAACACAAAATGAAAATTAAACCAACCAAAAGAAAACTTAAACAGAACCAAGACCATGACACATCCACTTTATCCTCCAACTGGTACTCAAGGATTCACCATTTTCAGTAAGAAGCTGAAAAAATTATTAAAATCATACCTAATTTGCAATATTGTATTCTTCGTGTTCAAGTTGCTTTCATTAAAGGGGCTGCCATGTTCTGTATTCGAGTTGTTAGAGACGGGTTAGGGCACAATTTAAGACAGCTCACATATTCAGCACCTTTCTCATATCACAGTTGAAGGCTCCATGTTGAAAAAAGACTCTCTTCTTCTTATCATGCTTCATCTTGTTTAGTATCTAATTCTCCCTTTTTCTGCTCTTTTATAGTGAAGTACATCAAGGAGATGTCTGCATTTTTTAAAAGCTCTGGTTCCCCTGGGGCAAACCTCCCGTGGGACTCCCCCCCTTCTACACCTCAGAGGGGCACTGAGGTCTCCCCCACCGAGGTAAAAGAGCCTTGCAGCATCCCAGTGAAGATGTGTCAGGTGTCACGGAAACAGTGCCCCCCAGACACAGAGAACAGGTACCACCATGTTAAACGTCCTACACTTTTCATGTTTAATTCAGTTAATATATCTCACAGAATCACTGACAAGTTACAAAATGGCTTTGAAAGATTATTCAAAAAGGGATTTTTTTATATCCTACTTTGATATTCTCTTTAATATGCGAAACTTTCTATGTAGCCTCAAGCTTTGCCCTTTTTGAGGTTTTTCTTGTTTTTTTAAGCAGCCCACTTTTTCCATCTTATTTCCTCCCTCCCCTCCTTTTATCACACTTCTTGCCAGGTATTTTGAGGTGATTTCATCCAACAGAAAGAACTCAATGTTCCTGCGGGCAAAGGACCCAGCCATGGCTCAGTCGTGGTACAATGCTATCCAAAGTGCTGCTGCCGCCCTTTTACCACAAGTGAAGGAGGAGATGAAGAGCATGCATCCTGGCATGGACGTCAAACATTTGGGCTGGCTTACAGAGCAGGTATTGAAGGATATCAATGTACAGGGGAATCAGAGAATAAATCACATTTTCTATTCTTTTAATTATTTAATTTTCATCTTTTGTTGGCATTTACCCTTCTTACCTTCTTTCCAGCTTTTGTATTCAGTTGTGTACTGTGCTTCTCTATATGGAGGTTTGAGCGAGTTTGCAAAAAAAAAAAAAGACTTCAAGGGTTAACTTATGTTCTGGAAACAGCATTTACAAATGAAAACTGTAATGTTGGTCAAAGAGTTTGTTAATACATTGCCTTAAGAGTTTTATTTGCCATTCAGCCTATTCATATTTGCTTACAAGAACAAATATTACACCACAAAGTAGTTCAGGATTCTTAGAATAAAAAGAGTGCATGGTTTTTTCGTCTTTTAAGTCTAGAAATCTGAAGAGTGATGAGCATTCATATCCAATCTTGCTTGGTTGATACTTTGTAGAACCATATTTGACTGCTGACAGGGGAATCTCTCTACCAGCTTTTCACATCTACAGGCTGAAGGTTTGGCTGTATTGTTTCCCTCAATAGCTTAGTTCAGTCAGAGTGGATGGAGGGTATCTGTGAACACAGATTTTTAAATCTTAGTCTTAACAGGATTTAAAGGTATAGCAGAGAATGTTCTTTTTGCAGGTGGGTCATAAAAATAAGTGGTCCAACTTATTGTCAATCATTCTGCTGATATGTTTACGTAATTCCGTCCTACGTGCTTGTCCTGTTAGCTATCTTTTCTGGGCATGCGCACTTAAAGGCATATGTGTGGTAAGCTACGTTTCCTGAAAGTCATTGAAGCTTGCCTTTGAAAAGGGCCGAGGGTTGTAAGAGAAAAAGTGTCTATGAAGTGTATGAGAAGAAAAAGGCCTCAGAAGAGGCAGATATATCCTGGAATACTTTATGCGGAGAGCTCTCTTCTCAAAGCGTTATGTGATTTGCTGTCCGAGCAGCCTGCTGTCACCATAGGCTGTCACTACCCAACAGTGGTGACTAATAACAAAGATGGTACAGGCACAGTGGTGAGGAATTACGTGACCAACAGGGAGCAAAAAGTAGTATCTGTCCGAACGGTAAGTTCACTATAAAGTCCACTATATTCCCCGCTCTATATAGTGAGGGATTTAGGGGTTAGGATGGACATTCGGGCACTGTAAGCTTGTAGGAGCTATGAGAACAGCAACATTTAAGCAGAGGATGCAAGAGAAGAAATGGGCTCATGCATGCTCTTGCGCTCGTTTAATGGACGTTCACTCTCGGGAGTGGGTTCAGAGTTGTGCATGTGCAGTTTTTTTTTAAGGTGGAGAGGGCGTTTGCCGTTGAAAGAATTCATGAAAATCCTCCACTACATTTTTGAGTTCAGATTTCCACCTGATTTGTACTTGCATCTTTTGCAGTTTGTAATCATTATTTATCCAGGATTGCACTGGATTTAGCTCAATCCGTTTTCCTCAACTCTTTCACTGCATAATTAAATGTTGTTTTCATTCTCTGGCAGACAGTTGACTGCTTTTAAATTTTTCTTTTCTGACACAAATTTAAAATATCACAGTAGATAACTTTTGTATTAGTGAGGGATTAAATGAAAACTAGAACAACTGTTCTAATATTTTAGAAGATATAGATTCCTTTGAAGAATTGGTCAGGAGATTAGTTATTGCATCAAGAGAGAATCATTTTAAGGATATTAGGATAAGTTCTGTTTGGATCAACATAATAGAAGATTTGTAGATGGTCTGCAAAAGTTTTTACGTTTGTAGGGACACAGTACCAATGCACTTTATTGTAGGCAGGCAAATGTAAGGTTTTTAAATTAGAGATACTGTTTCATAAGATTGAGTGGTGGTTAATTAAATGAGGTAGAAATCTCAAGAAGATACAATTTATTTAAAGGAGAATTCCGGTTTTTAACACTTTTAGCCCATTTTCTGTAGTGTCCAGGATGAAATCGAATGATCGACACCAAAATTTTGACAACTGGTCCTGTCTCTGCTTTTTGGCTCATTTAGAATCCACCCCTGGCTGCTTCAGAACGGCTTCCATAGTGCATGTCCAATAATGTCCTTAAAACAACCTTAAACTTTCTTTTTTTAAAATATGCTACTCACCGGGTCACCAGCGCTGTTCAATGACGTTCCAAAAAAAGTTTCGTAAAGAAAAAACGTTCCTGTAGTGTTTTATTTAGCATTTTGTAAATCCCATTGAGTTCTGTTGGAATAGTCAATATTCCGCTGCCACCGGAAACGGAAATGGGGCCTGTTTACACAGTTGTAGTCTTTTCGCTTCACTCTGTGTACTCCGACGTCGAGGTTCTAACGTCTCTGTTAAACACTTTAAAAAACTCTGAAAATGGAATACGAAAGGTGGATTCTTGATTCTCGACGTCGGAGTACACAGAGTGAAGCGAAAAGACTACAACTGTGTAAACAGGCCCCATTTCCGTTTCCGGTGGCAGGGGAATATTGACTATTCCAACAGAACTCAATGGGATTTATAAAATGCTAAATAAAACACTACAGGAATGTTTTTTCTTTACGAAACTTTTTTTGGAACGTCATTGAACAGCGCTGACGACCCGGTGAGTAGCATATTTAAAAAAAAGAACGTTTAAGGTTGTTTTAAGGACATTATTGGACATGCACTATGAAAGCCATTCTGAAGCAGCCAGGGGTTGATTCTAAATGAGCCAAAAAGCAGACACAGGACCAATTGTCAAAATTTTGGTGTCGATCATTCAATTTCATCCTGGACACTACAGAAAATGGGCTAAAAGTGTTAAAAACCGGAATTCTCCTTTAATTGGCAGAATGACTGGACTTAATTGTAGGGATAGGACAACAAACGTAACTATTCAGAAGAACACAGATTAAAGCCATGGTTTAAGGTGGTCCATATGATTCATATATGGGCTCTGTCCTATAAAGGCGCTTCAGATGCTTTAGAGCTGGAGAAGCATGATCTGTGAGCACAACCTAGTCTCAAACAAAAACCAAACACATCAGGGGATGGTTTCTTAGAAAACAATAGAAATGGTAAACCCAACCTGATGTAACTTTTTAAAATTTTATTTCACAGTAATACAACTGTCTGTTTGTGCAGATGTCGCAGGGTCCAGAGAAACCTGTCCTCGCAGTGTTGACAGAGAAGGACCTTCTTCTTTATTCCTCCTTCCCTGAAAGCAAAGATAGCCTGAGGAACGCCACCAAGAGTCATAGCCTCATCACAACCAGGTTAGAGATCTTTGAAGACACATTGCTCTACATCAGATGTGTCCAAATTACATCCCGGGGCTTATTTTGGACATTTGAAAAAATTTTCTGTGTAACCTCACAGATCTTTTTCCATCAAAATCTGGTTGCTTTGCTTGTTTCATTAAAATATGTTTTTTTTCATTTACTTTTAAGCTGGGAGGAAAAAAAACACAAATTATTTTCTGTGATTTGTGTTTAAAAATCTATTTTTATGGTAACTTAATACTTTTTGATTCATGTGGCAAAATGTTTTGACCTCCGAGTAGGCGCCCCATAGAATAATTACTTTTTAAATAGACACATATTTTCTTATATAAGCCTACCAAATGTATACCCCTCCCTGATCAACTCATGTTTTTCCTCTGACTTGAAAGCTCCTGCTCAAACTTTCCGTAACTCAACTGCTCAACATTTTGCGTCATTCATAGTTGGAAAACATTACTGTTAGCAGAACTTTTGAGTTATGTATATTTTCCATTTTATCCCCCCTGTGTATTCCACACCTCTTTTTACTCATAGGTAGCAGTTTCTCCCTTAGCCACAGTCTATCCTATAATTCCTAATTATAATCTATTCAACCACAGTTTCCTTCTTTCTCCCCAAAAGATTGGTCCACTCTGGTCCTGGAAAAAGCTCCCCTCTTTTGGACTCTGAGCTGTCGTTCGGACTGCGTTCAGGCACCAAGCAGGGCGTAGAGACTCACGTGTTCAGAGTGGACTCTGCTAAAGAACTGTCCATATGGACTCATCTGCTTGTAGAGGGTTGCCACAATGCTGCAGAACTCATCAAGGAGGTTACAGCAGGTAAAAAGATCCAAATTACAACTATTTAAAATATCTGTTTTTTTTATTGCTTAGTAGAAAAAGATCTTTTATCAAGTTTAAATGTTAAACTGCTAGAAGTTTGAAATTCATAAATTGAACTCTTACATTATTACATCAATATTCTTTTTAATTTATTTATTTTATTTTTATATAAAGCATCCTGAGTAATGAGGTCAAAGGCTGTTTGGGGGTTTTGGCCTACTAGTTGAACATAAGCACACTCAGCACATAATGTTCCATCATCAGATAGAGTGATATTATTGCACTGCCCTCTGCTGGTAATCTGAGGTGCTACAGAACACCTAAAGATTCATATGTAAAATAATGTTTACATTAAATAGAATGTCAAAAATAATTGTGATTTCATGGGAACAAAGAAATCTAATCCTCCTTTTGTCCTCTCGGCACAATAAGGTATCTTTGGAAACTGCAGGAAAGATTTGATTTAGTGGCCAGTAATAACATTCCCTCAGCTTTCAAACTACCTTTTGTGTGTTTGCAGCCTGCAGCTGGAATGGAAAGGAGTGTATTCTGGGAGTGCACATCGATGACGGCTTCACGCTATTCACAGAGGAAATGGGTGTCAGGAAAAATATTCTCTTCCAGCAGCCTTTCGAGCGCCTACGAATGTCCTCAGATGATGGAGTCCGTATGATGTTCCTCGACTTTGGTGGCCCTGAGGCTGAAATTGTGAGCAACACTTTATAGGTTTTATTGGAGAATTAGAACCGAAAAATGTTCTGTATGTAAGAGGATATATTGAATGTACCAAACTTGAAAGTGGGACTGTGATTGGGGGCAATATACTGAATTGATTAACACAGTCATGTGAAAGTTGTGCATATCAAACGGATTGCTGGGAGTGTAATATGGGTGCCCTTCTGTGTGCAGGGAGGCAACATGGTTTCTGGGAAACATACAGACAGAAAACGGTTGTTAACAGTTATCTGGAATAAAAAAAAAATATTTGTCAGAAGAAAAAAAAAAAAACAGGCTTTGGTATGTTATCAGCAGGGCTACAACTTTAATTTTAAGGATTGCAAATATGCTTTAAATGCTCGTGGAAGGAAAAGGAAAAAAATGTTGCAAGGGCATTTAGTTGGAATGTTGCCGGTGATCTACAAAGAGTGCGTATAGAAAATTCTTAAATTGTTTGCACTGTCCTATTTAGATTAGGAATGTTGCATGTGTTAGTGGCAGTTTTGCAGTGGGCCTGAGAGCAAGATGAAGTTCATAGCACTGAAGTCAAAGGTAATATTGATGATAAGTTAAAATAATAACAATAATAGTAAAGATAAATATTTATAATTATGTTCACATGTATATATCTTAAGGTGAAGCAGAAAAAAAATTGAAAAAGTTCAAATAAAAAAAGTAAATATACTGTTAATGATAAAACATGGAAAAGCTGACTTCTTCAGCTACCCCATGTCAGACAGAAATTAGTCCAGGAAGGAACTGCTCTGAGATTTATTGCAATATTATGTTCTGAATATTTTTTACATCTGTCACCTTCTCTGCAACCTTCTTTGACCTTAAATAATGCATACCAATGTATGTCCATAATCACAAAATAGGCTTAAATTAGCAAAGAACTTGACTTTTGCTCAGCTTTTTTGTCTGAAGACGTTTTGACACTTATTAAGGAGTCTTTGTTAATTCTCTCTGGTCATACCACACCAAACTGTAGTTGGAGTGCTGATGTATTTAAGCAGCATGGAGGTCCATCCTCCCAAGTCACATGCAGATCAAATAGTCACCCCTTATTCTCCTGGATTGTTAAAGTCTTTTGTTGTGCACTAGCTATGTGATGGGCCTTTTGAATCATGTGTGTCATCATGTAATTTCTTTGGAGTTAGTTCCATGACTGAAATGTAAATGCTTGGATGTTGAAACCTCAACCCTCCCCCTTTGGAAGATGGCTTACTTCATCCCTCTTTGAAACAATCTGTCCTCTCTGTCCAAAATTGGCAAAGTTTGACATTTAAAAGCGTGTCCTTTGTTCTTGAAGTGCAAATGTACAGTAGAACCTTGCCAAGAGTGGCTGGCCCATCTATGCTGTGCCATGGGTTTATTTAGTTGTTGTTTTGTTTCTTCAATATAGAAGGCTGTACAGTCCTCACTGCAGTGGACCGTATGCACAACGCCACTCAGCTTAGGTTTGGGTGTTCTGCCTTTTCAGTTTCTATCTGTTTGTACTGATTGGTTTAGAAAAAAAATATTTTAACTATATACAACAAGGACTTGCAAGAATTTAAGTTTGTTTTCCACAATAAGGATAGACAAACAAATGAAAAAAACAGCCCCACACTCCAAATTGTTTCAAAACATAAAATCTTTCAGACATTACCATGACAACGAGGAGAGCCTATCTACTCTTTATACAAACATTTTGTTTTGGAGGCCTACCAGGAACAAAGCTTCTTCTGTACTGCTATCTTAAACACATCACCTTTTTATAGGAAATCGGTGCTTTAGTCAAATGAGACTTGAATTAAGCTTTTGGTTCATAAACACATTCATTTAGATGTTTCTGGAGTAAAACACTTGATGAATAAATAGAATTTATTCTTTAGTATTATAATGCATAGTGGAGGATCTATGAGGCTGTGGACTTGTTTCTTTTATTATTAGGAAGCTTTGAAGGAAAATCTGGTGTTGGATGCATTGGTAACCTGGGTTTCATTCAGACAATGATTCAAAATATATATTTTAGAAATATATTTATAAATATATATTTAAATGTACATAAAAAAATCTATACAATGTATTTTTTTGTGCTGTATATAGATCATTCTGTGCTTGATGGCATATATTGCAAGTTCAATGTTAAATATGTAGTTTAAATCTATTTTTTAATAACCTAGAAATGACTAATCTATATACAAACATCCTGATTTATTACTTGTCTCTCTCTGCTACCAGCAACTGGACCTTCGCTGCTGCCCAAAGACCATAGTGTTCATCATCCACTCTTTCCTGTCTGCTAAGGTCAAGCGACTTGGTCTCCTGGCATGATAAAGGCCGGCCATCCATAACATCAAAACAGGAATATTTAGTGATAAATACACCAGCCTGTGAAGACCTTCGAGATGAGGGCCAGAAAGGTGTTTGTGATAAGCTCACCTTTCCAGCCTTTCCTCTGCCTTTAAATCTTACTGTGTTTGGTCAGAATCTCTCTGGGCTCTTTGGATAAATGAAGAGAAAACTGGAACATTGATGGACATTTTTTTTTATATGTAGTCGTTAGATAAAAAAAATGTTTTTACAGATAATTGAAGTTGGTAATCATTTAGTCTGTATCTGTCAAAGTTTTCTAAGTAGGTCAGGCTACTTTATGATGGGAAACTGTAAGAATGTGACAGGCTGTATTTAAATGTTTTTAAGCTTGAATGCAACCATTTTTTTTTCTTAGTTGGATTTTATGAGTCACAGCAGGCTTTTGTCATAAACGTCTTTTCAACTTTCAGTCTCTGCTTCATGGACGTGGTGAGTGATGTTGGACAAACAGTTTTCAGTTTCAGAAGAGTGACAGATTGACGCGGCTGATTGTAACAGGATCAATAGCTTGTACTAAACAGAGTCATGCTGTTCTCTCAGAGTTATTTATGAATTTATTGAATTCGGTTCCCCTACTTTAACTATAAACTATGGCCTGTCATTGGAAAAAAGCATATCTTTATTAGGTCCTAAGTTATAAAAATAGAGACCGTTTTAAATAGAACAGATAGAAACTTCTATTACAGTAGGTGAATAAACTGAGCTTACTTGGCATATTTGCCACATTTTCATTGACATGCAGCAGACAGCTTTTACATTACATAAATGATTTATATTTTGTTAGTTTAAATAAAAAAGATACATCATAAAGTGTGTGATTATTTTATTTTATGTTTAAGTTGACTAAACATCTTTTTGTAGTTTTGGGGCCTTCTCTCATATCTTAATACTAAACACATATATAGTAATATATGTTCTAAAACCTGTTTGTCTGAGAAACAAATGTATTGTATATTCTTATTTAAACGGAAGTGTGCCTTGCAAGGTTGTTTGTATATAAACATGTAATAAACTTTGTTAACTTTTACTGATTCATTTGACTATCTGTAATTCATAAGACTCTCTACACTGAAATACTTCCATTAGTTAAATCTTTGACCATTTGTTTTCTTGTTTTCTTTTTTGCTCTGGCTAAATGAATAAGATTGGGACAATCTTGGAACATAAATTTGTTCTTTCTGATGACGTTAGATTTTGGTCAGGCCTATGACTTGGCCGTTCCAATTCATTAGTATGTTTTGATTCAAACCTTTCCATTGTACCCTATATGTTAAAGGACATTATCTTGCTGTAATGTGACTCTCCACAATGTCTTAAGTCTTTTGCAGCCTAAACCAGAGTTTCTCTCAGAATCTAGGTGCAAGTTGCTCATTTGGTTTTCCCATCATCTTAAAAGGAGCACTAATGTTTCTACCACCATGTGTCACTATGGGGATGGTGGATTCAGGCTGATGTGTAGTGTTACAGCAGTGTTGGCGTTACAGTGTGGGGCGTACTGTCACCAGCTTGTCCTTTTAGATTTCATAAGATTTCAAAATAAAGCTTAACAATTTCTTACAATTCCCACGTTTCTGCAGTTTGTTTTTACATATAAGAAAGCTCTATTAAAGAATTTTAACATTTCAGTTTTTTGGGTGAGATCATGTTCCTGTTTGTAGTCATAATAAAGGATCATTTTGCAGATTGAGATTCCTAGAATTGCGTTTAGGCCAAGAAAGTTGCTTATTTGGTGTCATCAAACAGAAGTACCTTCTTTCTTATGTTTGCTGTGGCTCCTGCAGTGTTGCAAACTATTAATGGGACTTAAAGGTCCTTTTTCAGGATTGGTATTCTTGACACTCCATAGAGGATAGACCCATTGAGTCAACAATCTAGAGTTATCTTGTTAAGACATTCCTTCAACTGAGCTGTAGTTCACTGCAGTTCATCTAGACTAACCATGTACTGTACCTATTGAATGCTACTCTAATGAATGATTTTCTTCTTGTCAGGTTTACTGTTGTACAATTCTCTTTATTTTTTTTTTTATAACAGCTTAAACGGTGATATACTCAAACCTTTGGATTATTGAATATGCCCTCTCTCTTCTCTAGACTTGTTCACAGCTACATCACAAACCTCTCTGATGCTTATCCTGGTCTTCATAAATCAGTTTCTTCACAAAGGTTCTTACAAAAAACCTCTTTACCTTCCCAGAAGAGCTATTCATACTGATAGGAAATTACACCCAGATGTACTCACTAAAGAAGTGATATTTGAAACAAGTTGGTTCTTGCTTTGCATGTTTGAGCATTAGGTTACTTGTCTTAGTTTTTTACCTCACTACAATTGCATCTTGGTCTCTCAACAACTATTTTTTCATCTGGCCATTGATTTACGTTTTATAGCAATCATATTCAAACTCCTTATTATAAATAATCCTTTATACAATCTCTCCATATCAGAGCCTGCTGTCAACTGTCCATTCTTGGCTCCTCAGTTGTTTTTTTAAAACCTTTTAGTTCCCTACGCTCTTGCCATCCTTGTATTTCCATGTGAGTGCCAATGAACATCAAAAAATCTAAGCATAGTATATTTTTTGTTCCACTCTACAGCCGTGCAGTAGGCCTACCATGTGTTTGTCTATTACCTAAAAGCCTTAACAAAAACATGGTGTTCTATATTTTGGTGTGCTAGAGGGTGTTGATACATTTTCAAGGCACCATAAAACCAGGTTTTACTTGATAAAATCTGAAACAGTATTCTTTTCAGTGATGCTTCATTCAGTACTGCATGCTGTTTTTATTAATAGTCCTAGTTGGTAGTCTCTTACTTTCATTAAGGTTCGAATAGATTTGTAGAATGGACAGAGCAAAGTGATGATGAGGATGATTATAATTATTTGAGGCTTAAGTCAGCAGGGTGGGTAATTGGAACAGTTAGTCCTGCTGCTAGCCATTGCAAAAAGGAGCAAACAAAGACTATGCTCTCATCTGCTTTTTATTGGCATTAAACGGTGTTATCAGCGAGAAGCAGATGCTGTGTCAGCTTTTGTGTGTGCTTTTAAAAAACCTGTTTCCTTCTGTGTGTGCCTCAACTGCAAATACAAGCAGGACAGTCCAGTAATAACAACACGAGCTGGATAACAAATCACAATATACTGTTCATATTTAATCATACCCCCTCTTTCATTTCCACCCCACCCTCTTGTTGAAATGTTACTATAGTAACAACAGGGTGCACTCACCCTCACGGCATCTTTCTTTTTTTTTTCATTGAACTATGGTTTTGCTGTTGAAATTGGCAATCAGCCCCTCCGATCCAGTTGGTATGGAAGGAGGAGACAGTGTGAATATATTTTGATTAACAAGAGTGGAAGGACACTTTGGAGGGAGATGAGGAGGAGAAAAAAAATGGAGCAGAAGAAGACGTTCATTGGAGGAGAAGGAGAGAGGATGTCTCATGAAATAACGCACATGCTGTGATCTTTTGTGTTGCATTTTGGAAAGCTAACAATATCACATATCTCTACATAAGTCTGAGGAAATACCTTTCCCTGCTGAACCATAAAAGACTAGAAAATATTGATTGATGTCATTGAATAAATTCTGATAATGGATATTTAGTGTTAGCTGTTTTATTTTTTGACTTGATCCAATTAGAGAATTTCATTACAAATATGCATAATCAAAATATACCAATCTCAGTGTATCATAAAAATTAAGTCATTAAGTCAAATTAAGTTTTTTTTTTTTTTTTTTTTTTTTTACATCTCTTTCACTTTTGTTCTGGGTTTATTTTTCATATTTATCATCTTGGGAACACATAGCCAGTCTCCCTCCCTATGATATCTGGGCATCCCCATTTTGATGTGTTTCATTTCCTGAACATGATTAATGAGGAACCTCCATACATCTGGACATTGGACCAATCGGGCTTATGGGAATCTACAATTCTTACTTTGTTTTGATTTCCCTATAATGTCACACAAGTGAGGACGCCATGGAGCCAAATGTGCCTATATTAGAAACACATGATGTGAATCAGAAGGTCACCCAGCTAATATACAAGAAAGTAATAAATAAATGTCATACATAATTACGATTTAGCTATTACAAATGACTTTAGGACTCGTAATTTAATTAAAAGAGGGAGAGCTTTAGGCTGCTTTAACAACAGATTGAAAAAAAGATTATGTGTGATAAGGTATCGGGAAACTTGGGTTAAAAAAAGAGGACACTTTAACCCATAAATGTAAATCAATCAAAATAGTACAACTATGTGAAAAGTTCACATTTTGTAAACACATAACACACTAAAGCTGTCTTGCTTCCTCGTAAATGAGCATAAAATTATGGTAGCATTACACGTGATTCTTATGTCACAGAATAAAATAACAGTAAGATTATTATAGGATGTGAAATCATCAGTTTATGCTTCCTATCCTCTTGAATATTTAAAATATTTATAACTTGTAATATTTGTTTATTCATTTACACTCATACATTTATATAGATGTGTTTTTTCTTCTCTGATTTTGCTAAGTTTGTCTGTATGTTTCTTTGTTTTGTTTAAATATGCACAACATTGTTCTTATTGTTACATCTTAAAAAAAAACATAATAATGCTTGGTTTATAATAATAATAAGGTGGGAGGTTGATAGACCTTACTGTTTTGTTCTATTTTTTCAACGTACTTTAAGCTGAAGCTGTCTAGTTCACCACATTCAAGGTTTTATTAAACAAACAAGTACTTTTTATTGTTAGTACTCCTTTTACATTTTAGAATTTAGCAGGAAAAAAGTATAGTATTATTTGTGCTCTGAATAGGCAAACAGATGCTAAAATTAAAAAGGTTTTAAGATGAAAAACCAAAGCCTATAATAGAAATTAAATAGCATTACCCAATACAAAAAAAAAAAAAGAAACATTGTGTCACTAGCATTAGCACTTACCGTACATAAGTAAAAAACAAAGGTTTCTTGCTCTGAGAATTTTAAGAATCTGTTGAAAGTCACGCTATATCATTGTATTTTCCCAATTGATTTAATAAGGGCAAAGATAACATAGATAAAAACAAAAACAAAAAAACATTTCCATTCTGTATTAATGACTATAATAATGGGTTCAAGCATGAAGGCCAGTACAGTCTGGGGTGATTATAAAACAAAATTACATTATATAAGAAGAACCCTGCAATAATCCATCTAAAAAATAGCAAGTATAACAAATACTCTTTCACCTCGTGTTTGGCCACAAGGTAAAAGTCAGGCGAACAATGAAACACCTTATGCAAACTGTCAAGTACGGTGGTGGAAGAATGATGATCTGGACTTGTTTTGCAATGACACAGCCCTTTACTGAGCTGACCGTAAACTCCTCTTTACACCAATTTATTCTGGTGTAAGATATAAGGCCATATCTCAGACAATTAAAACTAGGTCATGAAACAATCCTTTCCTAACCATAGAAACTCTCCTGCAAGACTTGTCAGGTAAGGTTCTGAATCATCGAAGTCATGACAATTATTTAACTATTTAAGCCTGCTGCCTAGAGCAGCGTGGCAAAAAAATCTAATTTTTAAATCAGACAGAAATGCTTTTTAGCAGATGCATAAAGCTATATATAATCATCAAACTCAAGCATTTAAACTGCTTGGCAATATGGCACAGCAAAAATTATAATACATCTTTATAGTTAAATCTAAAAAAAAAAAAAAAAAAAAGGAAAAATATTAACAGGACACATTTTTAAATCATTACATTAAAATCTGGTTTTACAAGAATTTTGAAACCTCCTTTTTATTAAGTCAAATACATACATTTGGTAAAAGTAGTTGATCTGGTTCTCTTCCAAATTGCATTCATTAGTATTATTTATATAGGCTTCACTAAAACATTAAATATTAATGAATGTGAGATGCTCTTTCGTGATGTGAGAATTGGCAGAAATTGTGTTTAAGATTATATCTATAGCTGGCAGGTGGCAGTAGAGCATTAGACAAGAGAGAAATAGTCCTGCTGTTATTCTCTGCAGACAGTAGGGGTC